ATGGAGAGGGCCTTTATAAGCTTTTGAACATCCAAAGAGTTGAATAGGAGCTCTATTTGATTATTTCCAGAAATGCATGATACATGGAAGGGAGTAGCTAGGTCTTGTAAAACGTGATAAAAGTGCAAACAAAGAGGAAAAGATGAAGCATGCTTTAATCCCAAGGCACACATGAAGCCAGGGTGTGTTCCAGAGCAGCAAGGATGCACCCTAACATGCAGGCATGTTGAAAGATGTAAGTCTCCTCATGGACCTCTGCTTGAGTAGAACATGAAATGGTCATTCCTTTAGCGCTCTGAACCAGCCTTCAAGGGTAGAAAATCTTTGACAGAGAATCATGTAAAATGCAATCAATGTAAAATGAAAAGGAATGTATGACTTTTGAAGAACTTGATTTTCTTAAACTTGATAGAGGAGAAATTTCCTACCTTTTGGAGTCAGAAAAAAGCAAAGGTTTTCATCATAGCAGAAGACTAATGGCAGTTTCTGAATGGAATGAACTGCCTTGGAGTAAGGGGTAACAACACCAGCACTGGGAATCTGCGGTGGGCTGCACGCCTCCTAAGGGACAACAGGTGTTGGTGGGTTATAAAACCCTAAGGCCAGATAAACCTTCTGTGCTTCCTATCTTTGTTATCCTTATTCATTTGTTCATTCATTCATTCATTTGAGTACTTACCATATGACAGGCAATAATGGACTAGGTACTTGAGATTGACAAGATCATCATTCTGATGGAGCTTGTACTCCTGTTGGGAGTGGGATTTGAGGGACAGAACACAGTGACTCCTCAATCTGAAATATTTTTTATGTGTGTATATGCCTAGGCATGTGTGTATGTATGTGTTTTGAGTGTAGGCCTAAGTGTGTGTGTGCGCATGTGTGTGTGTGAGAGAGACAGAAAAGAGAAAGAGAGAGAGAGGTCAGAGAGAAAGAGAGGAAGAGAGGACAGAGAGAGAGAGAGAGAGGTACAGGGAACAGGTAGTGACTGTGCATTTCCTTGGCCCTGCCAATTTCCATACAAGGAAAATAACTACCAAATTAAATATCCTTGTGGGACTACTCTTGACATAATGAAGTATAAGTTCATGAAATAACGTTTCCTGTTTTGTGTTGTCTAAGGTTTCCTTGTTGCTTATCAAAAAAAAGAAAATGATATTATATGGTCAAGATTACTATGCTGAGCTAGATACTCTCTTAATGCTACTAATGGGATGATAAATTTGTCAAAATCTTTATGGAAAGCAATTTGGCAATATATATTAACTATTAATATGTTCATGTCTTTTTAATATGCAGTTTTAAGGAATTTATCTCAAGGAGAATAACCTATGATGTGGACAAACAAATGTTCATCGTAGCATCATTAATAACAGAGATAAAATGCTAAAAATTTAAATTATATATGAATAGAGAAATGATTTGTCTTGTTATGGACATCTACAGTATGAATATTATGTAGATAATTAAAATTATGTGCTCAAGGAGTTTTTAATGACATGGGGCAATGTTTATGATATATATGTTATAAAAAAAGAACAAGATACAAATTTTTATATTTTGTCTATTCTTAATATTTAAAGCAGTTCTATAAAATTAGACAGAAGAAAATGGGCTACAATGCTTTATGCTTTAAGCATTTTCCACAATTTCATACATGTGACTTTTATATTCAGAATTATCAACAAATTTTTTTTTTAAAAAACCCTATGTTAAAGCAGGAGCTAAATGCCTCTGTAATTATCCCACAAACCATTGGGTCCTAATCTGCAATGATCTGGAAAATCAACCCTTACACATATAACCATAATATCAATTCAAATTTTTGCTTATGGATTCACCAGATGGCTGTATTTTAGTGCTATGAGAGCAACTTTCTTTTCTGCTTTTCTTTAGAAAGTTTGTTTCTACCTTTTTTACATGGCAAGGCCCGTCCTTGGTCTGTGCATACTAAATGCAGTAAAGTGGTAGCAATGTCCTTCATGGGGCTATGGTTTTGTGGGAAATGATTTTAATTAAGTAGAGAGAAAGCACAGGATATGCTATTTTAAGATTAGGGAACATTTCTTAAAATGTAGCCCTGAAATCTTTTGCATCAGAGTAACCTCCGATACTTGCTAAAATACAGATTTCCCAGCCTACTAAATCAGAATCCTAGGATGGGCCCTGGTAATGTGTATTTTTAAAGATAAGCTCCAGGTTATTCTCCTGAGATTCTTGAAGAACCACCAGCTGGGGAGGTTAGGTTTAGAAATTCTTGTATGGGATCTGTCGCTCCAATGTTAATAAGTAAAATTAGAAGTGTTTTTCGATTGCATAAACCCAAAATACAAATCACTTTGCTTCTTAGATAAATCAGAATTGGAGGATGGGGCCTACCTACTGCTCTACTGTAATCTTGTTAAAGAGATTTACATTTGGAATTTATTGAAAGAGCAGATACCAATGGACGGTAACATTGCTAGGAATAGTGGTAGGATGAGTGTATAGGTGATTTGCTCTGGTTAGAAAACAGCTGTCACAGGTTCCATTTCTTCTGGGGTATCCTTTAAGGTGGAATCCTTGGCAAAATCAATGTGCATCAGAGTCCATAACTCATAATGAAATAGGCTTCCATGGGGAACTGTTGTACCCTGAAGCATGAGTGTTAAGTCAGATACGCTTACCACTATGTGGTATGGTCTGATTGTTTGTGTCCCCCAAAGTTTATATGTTGAAACTGAGTGCCCATGGTGATGGTATGAGGAGGTGAGGACTTTGGGAGGTGATTGGCCAGGAGAGTGGAGCCCTCATGAATGATACTAGTGCCGTTAAAAGAAGTTCTAAAGAGCTGCTTTGTCCCTTTTACCATGTAAGGTCACAGTTAGAAAATCCTATCTATAAAGAAACACGCCTTTACTAGGCGCTGAATCTGCTAGCACCTTGGTCTCGGGCTTTGCAGCCTCCATAACTGTGAGCAATAAACTCCTGTTATTTATAAGTTACTCAATGTATGGCATTTTGTTATAGCAGCACAAATGAACTGTGATACTATGTGTCTGGAAGATGTAAACAACTTGAGAACTTAGGTTTTTCTTAGGTACAATGGAGATAATACTAGTACCAGATTAGTGATGAAAAATGTTATGCAGAATATTTAGCACAAGCCATGTTATGCAGTAAGTACTTATAAGTGTTTACAGTGACGACTTCACAAGAGCTTAGCTGTAAAAGTTTGGGAAGTCAGGTTTTTCTAGTTGGCTTGGAAGACCATGTTAGTTGTCAGACAAGCCAGGGATTTTGAGTTACCCCGATTCTTGAGGGGAAGGAAGTAGAGTGGAAGAGGATCCAAAATTACTAATAGTCCTTCATGTGAGCTAGATTTTTGATATTTGTTGGTTTCGTGGAAAATCCAAACCTAATGTCATTTATTGAAATTCACCCTCTCGTGGATGGTCCAGTACTGAATTGAGTTATGTAAAATATCATTTGTGGAGTGATATTCATTTGTGTACCTTTTCAGTTCAAAACAAAGTCAAAAGTTTCTCTCTCTCTTTCTCTCTCTCTCTCTCACACACACACACATACACACACACACACACATATACACACACACAGCCTTAACCCTGGCCACCTCTCTATTATTTCTGGAATCCCATATTCTATAAAACTCTTTTAGTTTCTAACAAATGTCTTGGTCTTTATGATGGTCACCACCATGAAACACAGTTACTTTACACTTTCTTGCATTATTCATAAATATTCCCCAAGTAAAATTACTTTTTACACTTTTCCCATTTAAATTTGCATTGGGTGAGAGACATCTCTACAGATTGCTCAATTTTAGGAAAATAACCATTCCCCAGAAACACAAACGAGTCAAATCAAGATAGTTACCAGGAGCAATTCTTTATATTATCCAGTTGCACAACACACTTCTTGAATAAATGACATATCCTAATTTAGGATACATCACCAGATTCAAGTCAGAGAGTATCCTCTGCCAGTCAATAAGAGTGCGGGTCACTGGAAGATCCCTTCGTAGAATTTTTCTCAGGGCTTCATTGGATAACTCCTGTAATTCTTCCAAGACTGCAGCTTGAAATTTGTTCTCTTGCTCTTCCACAAGCCTTGCAAAACTTAGAGCCAGTTGAGCTTGGTTAACTATTTCCAAGCTTTCTTTCAGGTCCTTGGATATTTCAATATGAAGGTTGACACACCTGAAGAAGTGAGCTTGCACAAATATTCTTCCTGTTACTTGGGTTAGAAATGGGTTAACTTGGAAAATCCATTTAGATTTCCAAAGTCCATTCCAGCACTCTTCTGTTTCATAGTTGTGATCTTCAATGCAAGCTATCAAGTACTCCTTACTTTTGACAGTTTTTCGCAGCACGTTGCAATTTCCTTTTGGATAGTGGTCATTCACATACAGTTTTAAGGCACACAGAACAACAACTCTCAGATATTCTGTCTCATTCCGAATGATACCGTGACTTTGGATGTCTTTCAGCTGATTTTGAAGCAGGTCATATCTGAAAGAAAGTTTGCTTTGATGGTCAAAAAATCGGTAGTTGCCCATTACATTGTGGTGAGACAAGAGTACTGGATTTCCATCGATGCGGAGTGGTACAGAATATTTTTGGCAGTGTTGGTGGCCTGCACACTCACCTTGATGGTGCATAAGTTTTTCATCACGGATAAGCAGACAGAGATCATCAAAGGCATTTACAAATTCCCCTGGAGGTGCCTGTAATAACAGTCTGCGAATTATTCTTTCCTTGTCCTTCCTGCTCAGCACGCTAAGTGTCATGTTTGGTTGCAACAGAAGCAAAGCTTCTGAAATGAAGAGTGTTCAAAGGATAAGAAAACATTCCATGAGACACCTTTCCTATCAAGGTGTTAACACTGAAGCTGAAGGTTATTGTGTCTACCCATGAAAGCAGGCAGTCTAGCAAGGTCTGAGCCTCCTGATGAGGTCATAAGAAGCTTTCCTTGTGAAGTGTGGAACCTCTGATGATATCACAATGGGTATTCAGACCAAAAGGAAAAAATGACAGTCACCTGACAGTGTGGTGCCCAGCCAACCAGCTATACCTATTTTGAAGATTTTAAGAACTTAGCCTCCTGAACAGTCTTCTTCGAAAGTGGTGTGTCTCTGTGTGCATTATATGTTGTCAGGGATCTAGAGAAGCAGCCCAAAGTTTCAAGAGTGACAGCACTTTGCAACTTCAGGAATCACAATGGTGTTGATTTATACTCAGGCTCTCAGAGTAGCTGCCCAAACCCACTGGAAGCACATTACATTGTGATGAAAGGTTTGAGGGGTTTAAACAAAATAGTAAAAAATAAAATGAGATACAATGGCAGTTCATGGAAAAATGCCAGACATCAGGGAAAGCTGCATTTTCAAATATTGTGGGTTTGGAGATGGTCAGAATGTAAGAAGCCAAACAATTTCAAGGGCAGGGTAGTGCAGGTACTACATCTTGCTTACTGTTTCTACGGTGAAGTGTGAGCTAGCTTCAAAGAACAGAGGCAACAAACCTCTGTGTGTTCTCTGCTTTCTCCCTAGAAAAGTGGTAACAGCTGAGGAGTATCAAGAAATTATTTTCTGCAAAGGGGCAGAGTTAATTGTATTTGGGACCCGTAACAGCACCTATTGGGGAAAGACTTCTAAGTGAGGAGAAACGGCTCTACAGGTCATGAAACTATGGAAATGAAATATCCATTGAGAACTTCTTTCTGTCCCTCTTCTTTCTCCTGATTATCCTCTTTATTTGATGCTGTTATTTTTTCCAAGAGTTCTGAATTTAAATCCTCTTCATTTAAGCTGAACTGCTTGTTCGATGTCTGTTCTGAGCTTTTCTAACTTTCCTTACATTCTGGTATCTTTTTCTTACAAGAAAATGAGCTTTATTTATTCTATTAAGTCATAACTATTAAATTTAAGGAGATCTCAATACATTTTAACAATCTGAAACTGAGTAGTTTTGCACAATTTTTACCTATATCTTTTATAATTTTAGTGATAATTGTCATTATCTCATTTCGATCTTAGTTTTTCAAATGGAAGTGTCCTAACTTTTGTAGTTTATCTATGATAAGTAAGCTTTTAAAATTTTTTTTGTTTTCTCTTTCATACCAAATATACCCTTACCATGGTATTTTTGATGCTTTTTGATGGTACTTAAAATGTTACTGTCTTGAGTGTGTGTATAGCTGGGCATTTGACTAATGTAGTAATAATAACTTTATCAGTCATGGTTACTATTTATTGAACACTAAGTAGCAGAAACTGTGTTCAGTGACATATTAGGAATTCATCTAATACTTCCACCTTCCTTAAGATTCAGAGTTAATTTGATCACCTTTCTGGATTAGAGAACTAAAACAGAGAGATCAGGTGAGAGATGATCTTGAAGTCTGGTTGCCTCCCAACTTCATGCCTTCAAGCAATCGATTGTAATAATGCTTTAATTATTTTCTAAGTAATGACTTTAATTCTCAAATTTTAACTTTAATTCTTTTTTTGCATTTTTATTGTGCTATACCCTTTCATACCTTTACTATAGCATAGTAACTACTTAATTAAAAAAAATTATTTATCATACAATTATCCTATAATTTACTTTAAGCATATTCTTTAAAAATAAAAATAAGTACAGTAAATCAAATGTTTCTTTAGGAATTTTAAATACTCAGTGCCTTTCTATGAGAATTTCCTTAACTTTTTGTGCTTTCTACATGGTTTTTGTCGAAGATTCAGGATGACTTTAGAGGCGGAAAAATTAATCTAGAAAAAACTCAGAGGTTACTTGAAAAATTAGATATTCGGTGCAGTTATATTCATGTGAAACGGATATTTAAGGTAAGATGATATCCACCCCCTGCCTATCCTATCCTAGGAGGAACTTAATCCAATGTGAGTAAATGTCATATAAAGGTTAGTCTCTTAAGAAGAAAAACAATTAATTATGCTAACTATATTTACAACCAAGATGGAGAGCATTTCAGTAGAAGGTAAAATTAGTTGTTGAGAAAATCTGAAATAATACCAGGAAATCAGTTTAGAATAATTTCCTGAGAATACAGAAATGCTAGCATTAAACCTAGGATTGGATGTCTAACTACATCAAAATAATAATGGTAACTGTATTAGATGTTAGTGATTTATAGAATCAGTGGTGAATAAGCCCAAATTTAGCAGAAGGGAGGAAATAATACAGATTAGCACAGAAATAACTAAAATAGAAAAGAGAAAAATTAGAAGAAATTGAGGAAATTGAGACTTGTTTTTTTGAAAAGTTAAATAAAATTGACACATACTTAGTAAGAGTATGAAAAAAAAGAGAGAGGACTCAAATAAATAAAATCAGAAATGAAAGCGGAGACATTACAACAGATCTCACAAAAATGAAAAACACATAGGGACTGTTATGAGCAATCATATACCATAAATTTGGACAATCTAGAAAAAAAGAGAAATTTGAAGAAACGTACAACCCATCAAGATTGAACCAAGAAGAACTAGAAAGGTTAAAGAGACCAGTAGCAAAAAGGAGACTGAGAGGCTGAGTGCAGTGATTCATGCCTGTAATCCCAGTGCTTTGAGAGGCCAAGGTGGGAAGATCACTTGGGGCTAGGAGTTTGAGATCAGCCTGGGTAACATAGTGACACCCTATTTGAAGACTTAATTAGTAATCAAAAACTGCCCAACGAAGAAAAGTCCAGGACAAAATGACTTCACAGGTGAATTCTACCAAAGATTTCAAGAAGAATTAATACCAATCCTTCTGAAATGCTTCTAAAAAATTGAAAAGGGAACACTTCCAGTTTTATTTATAAGGTCAACATCATCCTGATACCAAAGCTGAACAAAGACACCACAAGAAAACAAAACTTTAGGCCAATATTGCTGATGAACATAGATGCAAAATTGCCCGACAAAATAATAGCAAACCAAATTTATAGCACTTTAAAAGGATCATATTCCATGACCAAATAATATGTGTCCCCGGCATGCAAGGATGGCTCAACATACAGAAATCAATCAATGTGATACACCACCTCAACACAATGGAGTATAAAAATCACATGATTATCTCAAAAATATAGAAAAAGCATTTGACAAAATTTAACTCCCTTTCATGATAACTCTCAATAAATTGAGTATAAAAGGAACTTAACATAATAAAGTCCATATATGAAAAGCATACAGCTAATATCATATAAAATAAACTGAAAAAAATTTTTCTAAGATCTAGGAAAAGGCAAGGATGCCCACTCTCACCATTTCTGCTCAAGATGGTACTGGAAATCCTAGCCAAAGTAATTAGTCAAGAAATGAAAATAAAAGGCAATTACATTAGAATGGCAAAAGCAAAATTATCTCTATTCACTGATGGCACAATCTTACATGTAGAAACTTCCGAAGATTTTGTCAACAAACAACCAGAAGGCCAGGTGTTGTGGCTCATGCCTGTAATCATAGCACTTTGGGAGGCTGAGGTGGGTGGATTACCTGAGGTCAGGAGTTCAAGGCCAGCCTGGCCAATGTGGTGAAACCCCATCTCTACTAAAAAATACAAAAAGTAGCCAGGCTTGGTGGTGCATGCCTGTAATTCTAGTTACTCAGGAGGCTGAGTCATGAGAATTACTTGAACCTGGGAGGCAGAGGTTTCAGTGAGCTGAGATCGTGCCACTGCACTTCAGCCTGGGCAACAGAGCGAGAGTCCTCAAAACAAAAAAACAAAACAACAACAACAAAAACAACTGCTAGAACTATTAAATTCAGTAAAGTTGCAAGATACAAAATTAGTATGTAAAAATTTGTTGCATTTCAATTCATTAACTCTGAACTATCCAAAAAGAAATCAAGAAAACATTTTCACTTACATTAGCGTTAAAAAATATAAAGTGCTTAAGAATAAATTTAACCAAGGAAGTGAAAAACTGGCACACCAAAACTGTAAACCATTGAAGAAACAAACTTTAAAAGTTACAAATAAACAGAAAAACATCCCATGTTAATATATCCATACTACCCAAGGTGATCTACAGATTCAATGTAATCCCTACTAAAATCCCAATGACATTTTTGTTTTGTTTTTATAGGAACAGAAGAAACAACCCTAAAATTCCTATTGGAACCAAAAAAAACCCTGAATAACCAAAACCAATCTTTAAAAAAGAAATATAAAGGTGGAGGCATCACAATTTTTGGTTTCCAAATCTATTTAAAATACTGTAGTAATTGAGGCCGTATGGTAGGGGCATAAAAACAAATATATAGACCAATGGAACATAATAGAGGGCCCAGAAATAAACCCCTTCATATATAGTCAACTGATCTTCTGCAAAGGTACTAAAATACACAGTGAGGAAAGGATAGTCTCTTCAATAAATGGCACTGAGAAAACTGGATATTTACATGTAAAAAGTGAAATTGGACTCTGACCTTATCCCATACTCAAAAATCAACTCAAAGTCCATTAAAGACTTAAACTTAAGACCTGAAACTATGAAACTCCTAGAAGAAAATAGGAAAAAAGCTTTTTGACATTGGGCTTGGCAAGAATTTCTTAGATATGACTCCAAAGGGATAGTAACAAAGACGGGTAACAAAAACTTGTCTGAAAATAGAAAAGTGGGATTACATGAAACAAAGTGGCTATTGCACAACAAAAGAAATAATCAACAAAAATGTAAAGGCAATTTACAGAATAAAAGAAAATATTTGCAAACCATATATCTATCTGATAAAGGAATAGTATCCAAAATTGAATCCCACAACTCAATAGAATAAAAACCCCAGGTAACCTGATTAGAAAATGTGCAAAGAGATTGTATAGACATTTCCCTAAAGAAGCTATACAAATGGCCAACAGGTATATAAATAGGTGCTCAACATCACTAATCATCAGGGAAATGCAAATCAAACCACATGAGATATCACCTCATACCTGTTAGAATGATTATTATAAAAAGTATAATAGAAAAGTGTTGGCAGGAATGTGGAGAAAAGGGAACTCATATACTATTGGGGTGAATGCAAACTGGTACAACCACTGTGGAAAACAATATGGAGGGTCTACAAAAATTAAAAAAGAACCGCCATATAATCCAGCAATCCCATTTCTGGGTATATACCCAAAGGAATTGAAATCAAGAGATATTTGTACTCCCATATATATTGCAGCATTATTTTACAATAGCCAAGATATGCAAGCAATCTGTCCATTATGAATGAATAAAGAAAATATAGTACGTACATACAATGAAATATTACTTATCCTGAAAAACTAAAGAATATCTTGTTATTTGTGACAACATGGATAAAACTAGAAGACATTATATTAAGGGAAATAAGCCAGACACAGAAGGACAAATAGTGCATGACACCACTTATGTGAGGCATCTAAAACAGTCAAACTCATAGAAGGAGAGAGTTGAATGATAGTTACCAGGGCTGAGGGAGGGGGAAAACAAGGGAGTGTTAGTCAAAGGGTATAGTTTGTCCCAGTGTGCTACTGAACAGCATTGTACCCGTGATAAATAACACTGTGTTGCATATTTAAAAGTGTAAGAGGGTAGATCTTAGATTGAGTATTCTTATCACACACAAAAGTAATAAAGAGGGTCCAGGTGCGGTGGCTCACGCCTGTAATTCCAGCACTTCGGGAAGCTGAGGTGGGCAGATCGCCTGACCTCACGAGTTTGAGACCAGTCTGTACAACATGGTGAAACCTTGTCTCTACAAAAAATACCAAATATTAGCTGGACCTGGTGGTGTGTGCCTGTGGGCCCAGCTACTTGGGCTACTTGGGAGGCTTAGGTGGAGGGATCCTTTGAGCTCAGGAGATAGAGGCTGCAGTGAGCTCTGATGGTGCTGCTGCACTCTAGCCTGGGTGACAAAGCGAGACCCTATGGGGAAAAAATAATAAAGAGGGCAGAAGGAAACTTTTGGAAGGAATGGATATGTTTGTGGCATAGATTGTGTTGATAAATTCATGGCTGTATACTTATCTCCAAACTCATCAAGTTGTATACATTAAGTATGTATACTTTCTGTGTGTCAATTATACCTCCATAAATTGACTTAAAAAATCAAGAAGGAATATATAATCTGAAAACATGTTATTTCACTTATTCCCCAAGAGAAAATCATCCAAAAATTATCTTTGTTTGAAGAACTAGTAGGAGGGAAACCTGGCTCAATTCTGTCACTAGATGACAGAAGGAAGGATCATTAACAAAATTAGGAAAAGCCATGTTAGCTGAATTTTGTACTAGGAAGATGTCAAATTTCTTGGAGAATCAGGCAAGAAATCTAGACTGGCCAATCCAGATCATTAGGAACATTAAAATCCTGAGTATGATTTTGTTTTTTGAACGTGAGTACTCAGATGACACAATCTGTGTTGAAGTTGTTATTGGTTACACAAACTGGGAAAGATCTGACATTTTAGCCTCCTTGCAAGCTAACAAATTGGCCTGATGTAGCTCTATGGAAGTTGGTGGAAGCAGGCTTGTGGGTCAAAAAAAAAAAAGAAAAAAGACAACTTATTACTCACAGAAATGACAGTTGTCAGAGTATTAGCATTTTGATGTTATTTCCCCAAGCCCCAGTTTTTGAAGTGTGGTATGAAGAGGAACAAGTGACGCACAGTGGGTTGGGTTCTAGAATAGTTACCTTAAGGTTAAGGGAACTCGGGTCTTTTATGGTGGGCAGTAGGTCTACCTGATCTTTGCCCTGTAGACTGTCATTGTCATTATTATAGGGAACAGTAAACAAAACTGCTTTTTTTTCTCTGGAAGGAGACACTATCTTTACCAAAGCTGTTCGCTATACAAATGTCCTTGAAAATC